GCATTTCACGTTTGGGAAATCTTTTTATTCTATGTAATAAAGGCTTTTTTTCAAAATGCCCCTCGATTATTTAAATAAGTTATTGTTTATCCAATTTTTCAGAGCAATTCCATCTACATTAATCAATTCAAACAACCAATTTATTAGAAAATTTTCGATTCTTCGTTTTTCGTAAAAAAACATGCTCTAAACATTTATCCAGCCGTGACTTACATAAGACATGGTTTTCGTCGGCAAAGGAGAATTTTAAATAGCATTTAAAATTAATCACTTTTTTCAAGGTTATTTGATGAAGGTGCTGCTCCTGCATCTTGTACTTGATTTTTAAAAGCTCCACTTATGCTGAAGACTTTTATCAATCAATGTCACTGAAAGCGTCCCGTTAAAAATTATTGATTAGGAACGAGAAATACATTGGCAATTTTATTTCACAGCTTACAATTTTGTCTATATTTTTTCCTAGATAACTCAAAAGCAACTAACGAGCAACCCGCAAACAATGGTTTCGTATTCCGGATTTTATTCGTTTTTCATTCGGATATGCTAATTTTTGTTAATGTTAAATCTTAGTGTTTAAGCTGATGTTATTTCGTGCAGTATATTTGCATTTCCACAGACCCTAAGCATATATTTTGAGCAGTTATTTAAACGTTAATAAAACCAAGTGTTTCCAATTTCTCAGCATTTGATTGCGTCAACTTCATTTCCCCAATTATTACAAACCAGTGTGTAATGCTCGCTAAAATGTTATTTTGAGCTGTACCACTTCAAAAAGATGCAAACATCTTAGTTGATCTGTTAGAAGCACATTTTTTTCGAATTCTAAAATCAATTACAATATGTATTTGAAAAACCGCCACGTGTGCAGAACATACGAATAAGATAACTTTATTGCACAGGTCTAGCGGAAACATTCAGGTTTTCAACCAGACATAAGAAAAGATTTTTTGAAGAAACTTGGTACATTTATGACTACCGGTTATAGTCAAAGAGGCAACGTAGCGTAGTGAAGTGTCTATGGCGAAAATTTGAAGCAACAAGCTAAGGTGCAATCGCTGTTAACACGAAGGTCCATATGCTGATGAAAGATGGATTACTTGAGGGGGCTGAACGTCATGAATTAGCCGGACATTAATGAGGTGACAGAAAGACGCCCTTAACTATGCACAAGTCAGTTGATTTGGACCTGATTATAAAAAAATCACACAATTTGAACCTAAAATTTTCTAACCTAAAGAAATTAATTTCACAGAACAAATGGCAGCAAGTTGCAAATATATATAAATATGTGTATGTATATTTCTACTTGCTGTGTGAGCAGATATAAAATCGTTCGACATAATATAAATCATCAGAGACGTCATTCCAAACTGGTTAAATTAAGTAACAAATTATCATTTCGTTGGTTGATATTCGCAAATTATAATAGGCACCCCGGATCAGAAAGGTCAATAGTTGTTCAATGTTAAAGACTCATATGGCTGCTTAAATTTTCTCAATACAGTATATTAACGCTTGTATAATATCGCTAAACCTGTCTAAGTATTCAGTAAGATCGATCACAAACATTTTGGTGCGACAAATTTAAATAGATATAAGCTTGTGTTTACAGTTGTTGATTCAGAAAGGCAATATAATCGAATCAGTTGTTAAACGCAAACTGTCAATGGTCCATTTGGACCTTCAAATTGAGTGCACGCTTTTTTAAAGACTGCGCTTCTATTCCTGTCTCAACTTTTTTGCGCCTACCGGCCATATAAGACTGTTTGAGGTTTGTTCAAGCACTTGGCTCACAATACAAAGTTCAGGTAGGCGAGTTCTACAAGGGTAGAGAAAGGCATAACAGAGCAGCCATTATTGGAAAAACAAGCCAAAACCTGCAGCCAGGCACAATATATTTATTCTGCACTATTCATTTATATAAATAATGGCCTATGACTGGTTGCTACTATTCAACAGTTGCCATTCAGACGCAAATAATATCTCTGCAGTGTTGAAAATACTATGTAGAATACACAGACCCTAGTTTGAAGTAGACTAGTACATCGGGAATCGTTATTGATGTGATGAATGAGGGCGCAGATATATTGGACAAGGCAGGGCTTTGTTTGTGCTTACTTGCAGGAAAGCCGGGTTGTCTATTGCAGGTGCCTTTTCCTCGTGCAGTCCAACTGACGTTTACTGTAATTGTTGTCGTCACTTACGTGCCGATGCTTCTTTATATGTAGCAGTCCTAATCATGGGCATTGTTTATGGATCCAGTGTTCGCAAAATCGAATTGACCAACATGACAGCTACAGTTGACATTCAAAGGTCTTCGTCTCTGTTATTCATAGAAGGGAAAAGACTGGGGTTCGATTCGCATTATTCAAACTCATCCGCCGCCACTATTGTAAAATACTCTAGCCCTAGTAAAAAGAAGACTGGCGAAACCGGACAGGCTCTATTGACCAATCACAAGCCAGAACCACACGTCAGGTGCCGTCCACCTGAGTCTGCCACGCTGGCCACGCCGCTCACTATATGCTGCACTTCATTCGTATCCTCTGGTTGGATTAAGTGCAGTGTGGCGACGGATCAGGGCGCAGATATATTGGACCACCTGGTCTCACCCAATCCTGTGTCTCTCTGCGTTCCAATGGCAGGCGAGGAAGATAAGCAGCTAACCAGAAAAGGACTCGAATGAGGCGCAGATTTATATGAGCGGCGTGGAGGGTGTGGTGGACCCGGATGGAGTGCGCCTGACGTGTGGTACAGGCTTGTGATTGGTCAATAAAGCCTGTTTTGTTGTAGCAGCCTTCTTAATAATTGGGCTCGGGTATTCTACATCAATTCTTCCTCGCATGCCATTGGAACGCAGAGAGACCAGTATTGGCTGACACCACCGCCGTCAGACGTAGCCACTGTGGAATACCCGAGCCTAAGTATAAATAAGACTGGTACAACAGAACAGGCTTTATTGACCAATCACAAGCCAGAGCCACACGTCAGGCGCCTTCCATCGGAGTCCACCATGCCGCTTATTATATGCTGCACCTCTTTCGCGTCCTTCTCTGGTTGGCTGCTCATCATCCTCGCATGCCATTGAAACGCAGAGAGACACAGGATTGACTGCGGCCAGGTGGTCCAACATGTCTGCCCCCTTATCCGACGCCACTGTAGAATACCCGAGCCCTAGTAGGTAAAAGACCGGTACAACAGAACAGGCTTTATTGACTAATCAGAAGCCAGAGCCACACATCAGGCACCTTCCATCCGAGCCCACGATGCTGGCCACGCCGCTCATTATATACTGTAGCGGAATGACAGGCGGCAGCCATATTGGTGACGGTGGTGAGCGCGGCGCGGAGGCGACTTCACGTGACCGGTGGTGCGACTCCCGGTTGCGTGGTGGCGTGCGGGCATTGAATGACGCGCCGGAGGCTGAGAGCCAATCCGCTCACGAGGTTTCTGTTCCCATTGTAGCTACGCGGGACGGACCAATGGGAGAACAGGAAGAACAGAACCAGCATATATAAACCCCCTGTTTTCCCTATGCGGACTGACCAGACTTAGACCAGTGTTGCGAGTTTCATCCTTTATTAAAGAAAATCATTTTGTCTCATTCTCTTCCTCACTATACCATGGGGCCGAAACCTACAATATTGCATCTCATCCATGTCCTTCTCTGGTTGGCTGCCTTCCTTTCTCGCATTCCATTGGATCGCAGAGAGACACGGGATTGGCTGAGGCCAGGTGGTCCAACATGTCTGCGCCCTGATCCGACGCCACACTGCCTCCCCCTTAGGAGTGAAGCTGTCCTTAGCTTCTGGCTTGGTTCGCCGCACTGTTCATGATTGTTAAAATATCCAGTTCGAAACTCTCCGCACCCCACATCTGACAGAATAGTGGCCCATGCGAATAGTTGACGAGGGACTTTGCTCTTGTAGACTTGCAGGAAAGACTCATCATCCATTGAAG